CTCCTTCGCGGTCTCACCATCTTGCTCACTCATACCCCATGGCCTGGTCCTCGGATCTCTCCTCCACACTTCATGTTTTGGTGACAAAACAAATTGTGAGTGATGCTCTCTGTGATACTGCTCCCCCTGAGCCCATCCTATATGACAAACGGTATCTTTTTAGAGAGGAGAAAAGCGCCTGTGGACTTCCCACCTCCCCGCCCCCGAGGGGTAGGCTGGGGGTGTCCTCGCTAATCTCTTCATTTGGCTCCCTTTACTTTCGATCTCCCGGTGGGTGGCTGTTCCTTCTGTTCACATTGCTGCAGTCACCGGGCATACTGTTCTCTTGGCTCTGCTGACTTCCCTCTGCATCAGTGGCACAGAGATCTTTGCAGGCTTCTCTGGACCTATCATGCATCATTTCTTACAGCACAATAATATTCCATTACATTCGTGTGCCACAATTTGCTGAGCCATTCCCCAACTGACGGACATCTAGTTTGTTTCCAGTTCTTAGCTATCACAAAAGTGCTGCTATAAATATTTTGGTGTTATGTGGAGACCTTCTTCTTAAAGATGGCTTCCTGGGGGTATTAGGCCTGGTTATGGAGTCTCTGGTTCAAAGGGTATGGACATTTTAGTCACTTTATTTGTGTAATTCCAAACTGCCTTCCAAAATAGTAGTTCTACTTCACAGCTCCACCAACAATGTATTAGTGTTTGTCGTTCCACAACCCTTCCAACATTGACTGTTGTCATTTTTTGTCATTTAAAAATTTGTTTTTGGTGAGGCGATTAGGGTTAAGTGATTTGCCCAGAGTCACACAGCTAGTAGGTGTTATGCGTCTGAGGCCAGATTTGAACTCAGGTCCTCCTGACTCCAGGGCCAGTGCTCTATCTACTATACTACCTAGCTGTCCTTATTTTTTGTCATTTCTTGCCAATTTGCACGGTTAAGGTGAAACCTTAGGGCTATTTTCATCTGCATTTCTCTATTATTAGTGATTTGGAGTATTTTTTCAAGGTTATGAAAACTGCAGTTCTTTTGAGAAATATTTGTTTATATCTTTTGACCATTTCTATATTGGGGAATGGCTATTAGTCTCATACATATTTATCCATTGTTTATGTATCTAGGCTACCACATCCATATCAGAGAAATTCGATACAATGATTTTTTTTCCCATTTGACCACTTCCCTTCTTATCTTATACGCATTAATGACGCCTGTGCAGAGAAGCTTTTCAGTTTCAAGTAATCAAAAGATTATTTTATCTTTTGTAATTGCTGTTATTACTTGTTTGGGTATGTACTCATCTCTTTCCTATAACTGTGAGAGGTCCATGATCTGTTTCTCTTCTAATTTTTAAATAGTATACTGTTTAAATATTAAGGTCACATATCCACTTAAAATGTACTGTGGAGTATGGTGCAAGATGTCCATCTCAGTCTAATTTCTGCTAGATTGCTTTTCCATTTTCATAGCAGTTTTTATCAAACAAGGAATTTTTCCCTAGGTAACTTGTGGTTTCCACTTTCTCAAACCCTAGGTTATTGAGTTCTACTGTTTCCGAATCTCTTTGGTCTAGTCTGGCCCACTGATCTATCTTTCTGTTCTTTAACCAGAGCAGATGGTTTTGATGACTGCTGCTTTATAAAATAGTTTTACGTCTGGAAGTGATATTCCCCCTTTGTCCTTACTTCTTGTCATCATTTCCCTTGATATTATAGATCTTTTCTATGAAGTACCCCTTTAATAGCTTGATTGGCCTGGCATTAAAAGTACAGATTAATTTCAGTCGTATTGATAAAATTCTGTGGCTCCATCAGGTCCAGGAGGTTCTGTTTTGTTTTTAAATTCAGTAGTTCCTTTATAGATGGATCTACTTCCTTTTCTGCGAATGGATTATTTAAGAACTTTATCTGATCATCTGATGGTCTGGGTATTTTCTATTTTTGAAGGTATTCCTCTATTTCTTTTGTGTTCTCAGTTTTGTCAGCATGTAATTGTGCATAATATGTTCTGATTAGTTTTATTTCTTCTAGTTTTGCTGTGCTTTCACCTTGCTCATTTGCTACTTTATTGATTTTATTTTCAGACTCTCTTTTTAATAAGATTAGCTAAGGGTTTATAAATTTTATTAGTATTTTCAAAGAACCAGCTTTTAGTTTTATTTATCATCTCTATGGTTTTTAAAAATTTCCAATGTATCTATTTCCCCTCTAATTTTTAATATCTCCTCTTTTGTGCTTATTTTAGGTTTATTTGTTGATTTTCTAATTTTCAAAAATGCATATTCAATTTATTATTCTTCTCTTTTTTAATTTTGTTAATGTATGATTTCCCCCACCCCCAGGATTGCTTTAAGTGAATCCCAGAAATTTTGACATGCTGTTCATCATCATCATTTTCTTTTACATTGTCATTGTTTCTACAACTTATTCTTTGACCCATTTATTATTTAAAATTTCATTGTCAAGTCTCCATTTGGGTCTGCATCTTTTGTTTGTAGTTTCTGAACCAAGTTCTATTCTAACTGCATTACTGCCTGTGAAGGATGTATTGACTACTTCTGCCTTTTTACATTAGTGGTATCTCTGCGACCTAGTACATGTTCAATTTGTGTAAAAATTCCATGTGATGCAGAGAAACATATATGTGTGTATATATGCATACACATACATACATATAAATGTGTATATGCATCTATTGATATTCTTCTGCTGTCTCAATTGGAAGACACCATGAGCCTTTTAACTCTAGTTTCCTTTTTCTTCATCTTTCCATTAGACTTCTCTGAAATGAAGAGAGGGTCCCTAGAGTCTCCTGGAACCACTGTGTTACTCCCAAGTCTTCTTGGAGCTCAGATGAAAGTTCCCTTAGGAACGTGGGTGCAAAGGCACTCAGCAGGGTGCAAGATTACTGCTGACAATGCGTGGTTTGCTGTCTGTGGTTCCTTCCTTCTTATTTTTTTGAATGTTTACTTTTGCTTTGTCTGCTCTTTTGAATTCATTTGATGTACAGTAAATTTTCTTTCATGCTCTCAGTTTTATTTGTGTCTTTGTTGTTTAAAGCAACAGATGAGATGGTAGGGCTTTATTTTCTTATCAAACCTGTCACTCCTCCTTATTTTATTGGATTATTTAATCCATCTGCATTTAAAGTGTATATTTTCCTTCACATGCCTCTAGAGTTGGAGTGTCTTTCCCCAAGTTATGATGCTTTCTCCCCTCTTCTGCTGCAAACACAGTATGATGCTCCTTCAGGTACTCTACTCTCTTCTCCTCTCCTCTCCCTCCCCACTGCCCACCCCCTTCCCTTCTTCTTGCTTGTCACCCTTTCCCTTTAAGGTTCTGTTGATTAGTTCCTCTCTCCTGCTTTTATTGGTTATATACTTCTCCCCATTTCCCCCCCCTCCATCAGGTAGATTCCCCCTTCCTCTCCTCCCCTTCAACTAGTCCTGTTCATTGTTTTTTTTCAAATTTCATGTACCCCTTTCCAAAAAGGATTTTTCTCCCTTCCTTCATTATCCATCTTCTCTTTCTCTTCACTTTAGACCCTTGTTCTCTGACCCACAGCCTCTATAACTGATGGGGGATGGGATTCGCGCTGGACCCCTAAAGGGAAAAGACGTCTTTGGGACCTGGACCCCAAAGCCCTCAAACCCAGATCTCCCCTCCCAGGACTAGTGGACTTCTTAGGTTCACATCCCCCCAGGCCTCACACGGTGTAAAGCCCTCATCTCCTTTCACTCCCAGGAGCAATCATCAATGGAACCCCGAATCAGCTCCAAAGTAGGCCTCCTTCCGTGGCCTCCCTCCCATCTCCTCACTTCCTCCCCTGTGGGCTCTTTGCTTTCTGAGACCACAGAGCTTCCCTTCCATGAGTCATCTGCTGCTAGCCTTGACTTGACCCCAGCACCTCCCTTGCTCCTCAGGTCCCCGACTCCACATGATGGAGTCCCACAGCAGAAACACGGGGTGCTGCCTCCCTTCATTCTCCTCATGTACGTTGAGAAAGAAATCTCTTGCTGGTCCTTCTGCTGTCTTACTCTGTGGCTACAGCAGTCTACATTTATTCACTCCTCCTGCATTTCTGTAGTTTAGGGCGTGAGAGATAAAAAAAAAAATCTCTTCAATTCGGTTTCCTTTCCAACTCTTCTTTATAATTCAGAGTCCATCTTCTGTCCTAAATGGTTTGCTCAGAACTGCAGGACAGGTTACCTTGGGCAGCACCCAGACCTCCAGGGCTCTTCCTAACACTGTTCCATTCTCTCCTTCTGTTTCGGAAGGGTGTGGAATAGTCTTGTGTTCTAGAGGGTCTTTCTCTAGTTTGTTAATTGGATTGTTTACTCTCAGCAGGCCTTGGAGTTTGTAGCCGTAGGCTCATCCGTGAACTATTTCAACCGGAATTTCATCTTCTACGTTCAGAAGTTCTGGGCAGCTCTCTTCTATTATTTCCTTCATTATGGCAGTAAGGTGCTTCGTCCTATCTTGTTCTTAGAAGAGACTGACGACCCTTAAGTCGTTTCTACACTGCCTGGTTTGCTTGCACGGTGAGTATATTTCCTTTAATTCTTCTTGGTTTTCTGCTTCTTTTCTTCTGTTTTCCCTCACTTCTGTGGATCTACATCGCCAATCTACGGTTCTCTCTTTGTTTCTCTGCTGAGGCTTGCCTCAGAGATTCAAGTTTTGCTGCTCTGCTCATGAATCTTGCTGTGCTGGACATAAATTCTGCTCTCATAATCCTCCTTTCTCTGCCGAAGCTCTCAGGAACGATGGCGCTTTCGTGTTTCGTGTGTTGTATTTCTATTTATGTCCATGCTCCCTGTTGCTTCAGTGAGAATGGAAGTCCCTGACTGAGAGCTGCTCCACTGTTTTATTTGTACCTCAGTGCACAAAACAGTCCCTTAACAAATGCACACCGAACACTTGATTTCAAAAAAACTTTTAAAAAAATAATCACATTTTAATTCCTATATTCAGAATAGAAATTATAGAAGGACGAACTAAATTAGTACCTTTGTCCAGGCTGTGGTTTCTTTATTCCCATTTTCTCAATTTTGGCTTCATAAACTCGATTTATAACATCGTTTCCCAACTCACACATAAGCTGTATGGCAAGAAAAAATAAATGAGTAATAGAGTTTTTAAATAACAACTTTAATGCTCAAAACACACACAGCGAGTATTACATCGTTTCTGATTCTGCAGCAGGCTGATTTAAAACCAAAGTGATCCATGACTAAGAAGACATTCGTATTTTAAACGCCCATTGTACCCTTGCTCACGAGATCCAGAGAACGGGTGGCTCTCTCACTTGCCTCATCACATGGCATATGGATATAATGGATTACTACTGTGCTGTGTTGTGTGAAATAAGAAATATGAAGGAGGAGGAGCCCCAAGAACCAGGCGGAAGACCCACAAAAACCACAATGACCCAAAGGGACAGAGCTACAATAAACCTCCATGCTACGGTGTTAATGCTCAGGACAGCTCAGCCCCAAAGAGAGGAGGAGGAAGCATTCCTCCTCCCACCCTTCTTTACAGAGTTCAGAGACTGTGGCTAGAGAACAATGCAGGCACTGAGGCCTTCAGAGATGGTGGGGTGGTTGGCTTTATTTTGTTGAAATACTTTTTCCTCTCTTTCTTTATGCTTTTTTTCAAGGGTGACTTGGTTGGTAGGAAAGAGAGATAGATATGCTTGGAAAAAAAGGTGTTGTAAAAACAAAAAAATGTCAGTAAAGTTAAAGCAAATAATATTACCTTTAGAAGCTCAGGCTCCCAGGTATCTAAAGTTAAAGAGCGTACTTTTGAAAAGTGAACCCCAAGACTCCTAAACAGAAAAGAACTGCATTAATAAACAACGGTATCCATTCAATGGTATCCATAATAACTCATTTCAGATTCATCCATGCTTCCCAGCCCAATTAAACACAACGCCACTGACAAGGCCCTGAGGCTTCCACAAGAATGCCCAGCAGGATGGGATGGCACGAGTAGCTCCCACTTTCAAAGCACCCTGGAAAGCCTCCTGTGTTCTGCCAGACACATTCAAGCATCCAGAAGCGGCTCTGCTCAGCATGTGGACAGGCCAAGAGCAGCCCAAGAGAGTCTCGGGGGGCCCAGCCAGGCCAAGGCTCAGGAGGGAAATGGGAAGCAGGGGGAGGAGAGCACCTACCGGTGTATACCTGAGCACTCAATGCACAGGGTAATGCCCAAGTTGATGCTGGCCCACCGGGGGTCAGGCAGGCCACAGTCGCAGCAGCTGGCATTCCCAGGAATGCCCTGGACCCGTTGTAAAGCACTTTCTCCTTTTAATAATTTCTCTTTTGACTCATTCCCAGATTCCAGGCTTCCCGTAGATGGAGATGATTTTTTATCCAGCTTCTAGGAGAAGAAAAAGTAAACATCTGGTTCTTATTCCATGCATTCCATGTCTCTGCCGGGGCTTTCTGTTATATTTTTAGATTATTTTGCACAATGAAATGATTGGTTTATGGAAATACTCTAGGGGCAGCTAGGTGGCGCAGTGGATAGAGCACTGGCCTTGAAGTCAGGAGGACCTGAGTTCAAATTTGGCCTCAGACCAAACACCTGACACTTACTAGCTGTGTGACCCCGGGCAAGTCACTTAACCTCAACTGAGAAAGAAAGAAAGAAGGAAAGAAGGAAAGGAAAGAAGGAAAGAAGGAAAGAAAGAAAGAAAGGAAAGAAAGAAAGAAAGAAAGAAAGAAAGAAAGAAAGAAAGAAAGAAAGAGAGAGAGAGAAAAGAAAGAAATACTCTATAGACAGACTATCCCAGAATGCTAAGGAAGAAGTGCATCACCACAAAAGCAAAGGCCATTTCCTGTTACAGTCTCGTGCTGGACTCTGCCAAGGAGGTAGCAGGGCCCTCAGTGCCTGCGATGACCATGCCACAGTGGCATGGTGTGCTCTGGTGAAGCTGTGTCACACAATCCTGCATTTGCCAGACAGGTCCTAACTCTGGCTAAAGGCAACCTCTGGGGACTCAGTTTCCCCATCTGTACAACCAGAAGTTGGCCAGATAACCTCTGAAGTCCCTTCCAGCTCTGACAATCTAGGAGGCTCCAAATCATCATTTTGTACAAAACATCAGAGCATTCTGCAGTTGCAGCATGAGTTAAAAGGAAAGCTCCAAATGTCTGACCGAACTAGTCCTAAGCACTACCGGCTGACTGAGGAAAAGCCAGGAAATGACTTTATGAGGATACGATGATTGAATAATCCATCACCTACAGAGAAAAGCCAAGTGGCTCTACCCCCCTCCCCTGGATGGTCCCTAACCTCGAGGAGGGATCTGGCCTCTGTGAGCCTCTCACTTTTCTCATCTATCAAACAGGGATCCTATTAGTCCTAGGCTCCCTGGCAGCTGGCCCTAGGCTGGCTGGTCTGACGGAGAGGCCCTGGAAACGAACAGGAAACCGACACAGAAAGGGCCATAAAATCCGCAGGCGGGCAGAAACACAGAATTCTAGAAACACTCTAGGGGCAGCCAGATGTTCACAAGGGGCTATGATGTTCACATGTAAAGCTGTAGACCTCAACAGAGAGGGGAAATCAGGACCCTGCAGGTGGTTTCCAGAAAGAGAGGCCAGGGTGGCACTGGGCAGTGCCAGCAAAGAACCTTTGGATGGAGATCAACAGAACGAGAAATGGAGGCTGCATTGAGGGCAGTCAGAGCAGCAGCTGCAGCAGCTGTGACAATAATTAGAACTGCTACAAGTAGGGGCAGCTAGGTGGCACTGAGGATAGAGCGTCAGTCCTGGAGTCGGGAGGACCCGAGTTCAGATTCAGCTGCAGACATCTAACACTCACTAGCTGTGTGACTCTGGGCAAGTCACTTAACCCCAACTGCCTTGCCAAAAAAAAAAAAAAGAGAACTGCTACAAGTGCTTTGAGGTGGTCTCGCAACATGCCTAATATGTGTTAACTCATCTGATCTTCACAACCTGAAAGAAACAGGCACTGTGATTATGCCCACTTCACATACGAGGAAACTGAGGCAGACAGAGAGTCAGTGACTTGGCCAGGGCCACACAACCAAGAGGTGTCTGAGGCAGGAGCTGAACTCTGGACTTCTGCCTGGCCACAAGACAGGAAAGGACTACGAAGAAGGCTGCTGCCTGGGGCCACACCCTCCCTCAGGGTCGGCTGCTACGCTGATTCACTGTGGTAGAGGCAAGGGGGCACTGCCGGGGCAGGCCGCCATGGCCTCCGCCTCCCGGCTGGAAAGTCGATCCCGATCTCCAGCCTCCGGCCCGCCACCCCCCCCCCCGCCGGCAGCCCTCCCGGCCCCCACCCGAGATGCCCACTCACCTCCGACTCTTCCCCCTTCTCTCTGTAAGCGGTGGCAATGCTGGTCTGGACAGCCTTGATCCAGGCTTGGCGCAGCTTCTCCGAGTCTGCCTGAAGCATGCAGCTTCTGTAAGGGGCAGAGTGCTTGGTCAGGCTCCGGCGCAGGCACGGGAGCCGCCCTGTGCAGGCCCAGGTCTGGGAGCGTAAGCGAACGGCGGCTGTGGCGTCCCCGAGCACCGTCCAAGTGCCCGCTGACTGATTAACCATTGGGGGCGCGCTCGGGCTCATCCCTCCCAAAACCGTTCTCTCCAAGGTCACCCGCGGTTGATTTGTTCACCAACAAAGCTCGTGGTCCTTCTCAGGCCTTCTCCTGCTGCATCTGAGACTGCTGGAGGCAGCCATGGGGCCCGACAGGGCAGAACCTGGGCCTGGAGCCAGAAAGGCCTGACCTCAAATCCAGCCTCAGATACTTGCTAGCTGTGTGACCCTGGCCAAGTCACATGACTCTATCTGCTTCCATTTCCTCATGTGTAAAATGAGGATACCAACAGGTCCCCCCACGCAGGGCTGTCGTCAGGAGAAAATGAGGTGACACCTGATAACACTGACAAGCGCTCTGCAACCCTGAACGCATGACCCACACTCTGGACACCGATCCCAGAGTCCCGAGGGCACCTCTGGGGGGCTCTGAGCAGGGCGGTGACACAGACCGGGGCGGGCCTCACCCCTAATTCAGATGCGGGGTCACGAGAGCGCTATTCAGCCGTCTCTCGACACAAGGGGACTGCTACCCCTGGTCCAATGATTCTGGAATCATGTCCATCCCAGTCAGTCAGTCAACACCTATGGGCCCTGGGCTAACCTCTGGGGATACAGAGAAAGGCAAAAGACAGACTGCTCTGGAGGAGCTCACAACCCAATGGGGGAGACGACAGCTGGGTACAAACGAGCCGCTGACGGGACCCATTAGAAATAGCCAGCACGTGCGAACGGATCCAGCCGCTCTGGAGAGCAACGTGGAACTGTGCCCAGAGGTCTATGAGACTGTTCCTCCCCAACCCAGCAATACCACTATGAGAGCTCTATCCCAAAGACATCTGAAAAAAGGGGAAAGGACCTATTTACACAAAAATATTTAGAGCAGCATTTTGGTGGCCAAGAATTGGAAACTGAGGGGATGCCCATCAACTGGGGCATGGCTGACCAAGTTATGGTACACAATTGTGATGGAATACTATTGTTCCATAAGAAATGACAAGAAGGATGATTTCAGAAAAACCTGGAAAGACTTACATGAATGGATACATAGTGAAGTAAGCAGAACCAGGAGAACCTGTACACAGTAACAGCCACACTGTGCAATGACTGACTTTGATTGACTGAGCTCTTCTCAGCAATGGGAGGATCTAAGACATCTCCAAGTGTCTCATGATGGAAAATGCTATCCACAGCCAGAGAAAGAACTATGGAGTCTGAATGCAGATCGAAGCAGACTACTTGATCTTTTTTGGTGTTTTTTGTTTTCTTTCTTGTGGTTTTTCCCTTTTGCTCTGATTCTTCTTCCACAACATGACTAATGTAGAAATATGTTTAATATGAATGTATATGTAGAGCCTGCATCAGATTGCATGCCATGTTGGGGAGGAGGGGGGAAAATTTAGAACTCAAAATCTTATAAAAGTGAATGTTTAAAACTAAAAATAAATTAATTAAAAAGAAAAAAGAAATAGCCAACAGGGAAAACAGAATTAAGAGGGGTAGGGAAAGGCTTCCTGTAGGAGGTGGGGTTTTAGCTGGAACCTGAAAGAAGCCAGGGAACTCAGCGGGCAGAGCATGCCGGTCCTGGGGGACGGCTGGCCACAGAGAATGGCCGGAGCTGAGGGATGGAGGCCAAAGACAGAAAGAAAGGTCTTTTAAGCAACAAAATAGTGATAACAGCTCTTTCTGCTGTAGCAAAGACCTGGGAACAAAGTAGATATCCTATGACCCTGACCAGAGAATGACGAACGCAAAGAAATGCTCTTAAGGAATGATCAGCAGGAGAATGTGGAGGAGTGTGAGGAGAGCTACAAAGACCTCCATGAGGACGATGACGGCAACAACCACAGCCAGAATGAAAGCAGTGAGCCCAAAGTGGCCACGTGGGACCCCAGCACAGCCCGCCAGCCTCACTCCCTCCTTCTAGGGGATAAGGGAGGGTAAATGAAAGACACTGATTTAAAAACAATGGGAAGCGAGGTTGGCCAGTCAGAGGAGGAGGGCCTTCTGTGCACGGAGCGTTTCATGTCCTTGAAGACCCTGAGCGGAGGGGCTCTCTCCCCCAGCCCTCCCAAGGCCATGTGCTGTCTCCCCCAGGAGCATGGGAGCTCCTGGAGGGAAGGGGCATCCTCGCATTTGTCTCTGTTCCCCAGCACCCAGCACCCAGCACCAGGCCTGTGATCAAGACTGACAACATCAGATGATTCAGAACTCACTTTGTGGGCGAGACCACCTCGAAGCAGAACCGTCTCTCTACATCTTCACAATGCTTCACGGTGCAAAGCCGCAGGTCTTCAACGACCACCGTGGGAGTGTCCTGTGGGAAGAAAGCACAGCACAAGCTTCTGGGGCAACTGAGCATTGGACAAACTCATTAAGCTGAGCCCTGAGTGACAAAGAGCCACAAAACATGAAGTAGAACCAGAGGGGTCCCCATGCTCCCCCTTCCCCAGTACACACCTATGGGAGAGTCTCCATGCCAGCAGGGATCAGCCCTTGGCCTGCTGGCAATGTCTAAGAACAAGGTCTTGTTAGGGTAATTTTCTCATGGGAGTTCTAGCTTCTCTCAGCAGAAGCTGAGGGTCACAACCTGTTGCGTGGCAAAAACAAGGAAGTCTCACAAGACCTCTCCTTTGCTGACACGCAGCTCCCACGGTTGGCTCGCTCTCCTCTCATTGGGAGAAAAGTCCTACTCATACCCCTGACACGAGGGCTGCAGGTGTCCAGCAGACTTGGTGATTGGCTATCACGTGGAGATCGTGCTTTGATCAGGTGTTACTAGGGATATAAAAGAAAGCTACTAGCACTTAATAAACGGAGCTTCTGCCATCTCGCTGTCTCCCGCCTCATCAATGCGCCTCCGGGTTAAGAGTATTGAGCTGGTCTCATGCTCACCACTGCAGAGGCAGCAGCCGTGTCAGGTCTGTATTCTTCATTTTCCTGCTGTACGAGCTCTGATGTCCTCCCTGGCCCTGCCACGGCCATGTGTCCTGACCCACGAAGGCCCAGACCACCCTTTTACAGCTAAACTCCTTGAGAAGGCTGCCAAAAGCAGGGCCCTCCACGTCCTTTCCTCCTACGCTTCTTAAAATTCTGCCGTCTGGCTTCCAACTTCCATAATAATGGAAAACACTCTCTCCAAAGTTAACAGTGATCTCTTATTTGCCCAATCCAATGGCCTTTTCGCAGTCCTGGACACTGGTGATGACCCTCTTTTCTCTATGTTTTCACGGCACTGCTCTCCTAGGCTGGATTTTTATCCAGGTCCCCCCCTGCTAACCACAGGGGTGCCTCAGGACTGCCTCTTGGGCCCTCTTTTCCTTCTACATCACTCTGTCCTGACCTTCTGGCTGGTATGTCTGACTACCTGGTGAATATCTCCCACCGGATGTCCTGCAAACATGGCCCAAACACAGCTTGCTCTATCTTCCCTGTCACCCAGGCTCACGCTGGCATCATCTGATTCCCTCCTCTCAGTCCCCAGAGCCAATGTGGTGTCACGTTCTAAGGAGTGGATCTTTGTAACGTCTCCCCAGTAAGCCCCCTTCTCTCCTCGGACGCTGCTTCAACCCTGGTACAGGCCTTCATCACCACATGCACCACAATTCAACACTACTGCAATGACTGCTCGTGGGGGGAGAGTGGTCTGCCTGCCTCGAGCCTGTCCCCTCTCCAGTCTTTCCTTCATTTATCTGTCAAAGTGACCTTCCTAAAGGGAAGCTTGACCACGTCACACGCCCCTGCTTCCTCTCATCTCCAAGAGGAAACACAAAATCCGACTTAGTGTTCTAGCCCCTTCCGCACACTATTCGATTCCGTGATTCCATTGCTGTTTCTCCCCTAGGACAGCTCCCTGGCTGTCCCCCAAGTCTGGAATACTTTCCCTCTTCATCTCTGCTTCCTTCAAGTCCCAGCTAAAATCTCATTTTCTGCAATAAGTCTTTCCTGGTCCCCATTCATGCTAGTGCCTTCCCTTGGAGATCACCTCCAATTTATCCTCTGTGCATGTATCAGCTGTACATAACTAATTGTACATAATATTGCCATATTTCCCATGGTATTAATAAAACAGCTAACATTTCTACGGCATTTACTATGTGCCAAGCACTCTGCCGTTACTGTGTCATTTGACCTTCACAACAACTCTGGGATGTAGGTGCCATCATGATCCCCATTTTTAGCTGAGAAAACCAAGGCAAAGAGAGGTTAAATGACTAGCCAAGGATTATACAGCTAGGCAGTGTGGGAGGCCAGATCTGAACTCAGATCTTTCTGACTCCAGGAGGGTAAGACCCATGTTTCTGCCTTTCTTTGTATCCCCAGTGCTTAGCACATAGCAGGCACTTCATAAAGCCTACTGACTTGATTTGACTTCAAAAGAGATTGCTGCTTTAAAACCACATCTTTCAAAGAACAAGAAACCTGTGACTAGCTCCACTCATGAAGAAATTTGTACAGCCTCAGGCTGACTGGCGATGTGGCATTACCCTCTTGATCTGATCAAGGTCAAGAAGCCCTCGAGACAAGTCAGATACAGATACTACTTTGAAGACCTCAAGGACTTAGTCCATCTTCACTAATCAAACTGTCAAGAAAGACATGATGGTAGGGTGGGACCAGTGGGACCCAAGCCACTCATGCACTTTTGGCAACCCTGCCCCGACACACACCATTTATCCTCTTTTAAAGCTACTTGGGGGCCCAAGGAGGTTAGTGACAAAGAGACAGGTCCCATATCCACCGAAATGTTTCCAGGAGCACTTTTTGTGGTAGCAAAGAATGGGACATTGACTGTGGAACAAGCTGTGGTCCGTCAACGTAATGGAATATTAACATTACTGGGGTGTGGGACATGATGGACATGGTGACCAGAAAGAAGCATGGAAAGGCTGAGATGAACCAAAAAACAACCACACAAGGATGATGAGGGAAATGGAAAAAAAAACAACAAAAAGAAACTTAAGGCTGTGTAACGGTAATGTTGGAGCGTGGCCCCAAAGCAGAACGATGTGGAAAAATCATCGCAGTCTTCCTTCTCACGCTGCAGATGACCTTGGACTCACCATCCTTCTTTGCGGATGTCTGGGAAAAGGGAATGAAGCTCAAGACATCCAAGGTACATGAATACAAAAGTTACCAATGAAAATGTAAAAGGCTCTTGGCTTGAGAAGCAGCTCTCTTCTGCTCCCCCGCCTGATGACCCGCAGTCATCACAGAAACAACGGACACACCAAGAACTGTCCTTTGCAATTCTTGAGTCAAATACAATCTGGTTTTTTCACATATCATATTTTGAACCTTTTTATTCGGAAGAAAATGTTACACAGGCTCGACTCCCAATCTGATGCTCTACTAGAAGATTTGTGGCCCTGAGCAAAGAGAGGATAAGCCTTTGGAAATGTGCAGCACACCCTGGACTTTCCTTCTTGATGAACAGAGTGGCACCCACCTTGAATTTTTTCTGGTACACCAACTGATTATTCTGTATTGAGAACCAGCGTCTAAACAAACAGAAAGCAACTCAGTTACTCGTAAACATAATTTATTTCATTTGCTGATCAAAATAATTTTTTTACTTTTGGAAAACTAATACAAATTGGCCCATAAAACTAAGTCATGACGACTTGTGTCAGTATGAGATGCATATGGCAAAACAGAAGGACGAAAAAAGGGGGGAAAGCCAGCATTTTTAAACTGCAGAGTTTAAATTTTGATTAAAGGAAATACAGTTACTTGAATTAGTTCCTCTATGGCATATGAATTTCTACACTAACAAATATTATTCTTTAGTACTCCCATATTAGATAGAAAAATTAGCATTGTAAAAATCACCCCATATTTTAAAAAGTATTTCTTCATAAGGAACCCCAAATAATGGAGTCTTTTTGTTTCTATTTTTAGTGTCTGGATGGAGATGAACATTGCCGAAGTGGGAGAGGGAGAAGCAGTGAATGAGAAGGCACTTTTATGTTCCGTATCGTCCATCCCTCCCGGGAAAAGGGAAATCAATGCTATTTTATGACTGCTAAACTTTTCTGCTATAATGGAAGTGATGAAGGGAAGTACACAGCTCCTCACAAGTCCTTGACTTGAGGAAGCTGGAAATGACTCATTTTAGAAGTGAAATCCAGACCCATCTGTGCGCTGTGCTCTGTGCGTGTGTGTGTGTAGGGTATGTGTAGGTGTGTGTGTGCGTGTGTGTGTGTGCGTGTGTGTGGGGTGTGTGTGTGTGTGTGTGTAGGGTGTGTGGGTGTGTGTTTGCGTGTGTGGGGGGTGTGTGCGTGTGTGTGTGCGTGTGGGGGGGTGCGTGTGTGTGGGTGTGTGTGTGCATGTGGGGGGTGTGCGTGTGTGTGTATGTATGTGGGGTGTGTATGCGTGGGGGTGTGTGTGTGGGGGTGCATGCGTGTATGTATGTGGGGGGGGTGCGTGCGTGTATGTATGTATGTGGGGTGTGTGTGTGCGCGCATGCCCAGACACACGCCTCCCTCTCCCCCGCCCCGCCACGGCCCGGACTGACTGGTCTCACTTTCACACTGACCACTTCCAAACCGTAAGCTCAAAGTTAGGCGGCCTGTAAACCTGGTCATCCAGGCTGCTTCCTTCTGTTTTGTGCAGCAGTGGGTGCTGTACCTGCTCCCCAAAGTGCCTGTGATCTCCTTTAGAAAAAAGATTAAATATGGTCACATCGACTCATTCTGAGCTACTGAAATCAAAAGCAAAAGGGCCCCAAACTCTTTCGATTTGATAGCCTCAATCAGGCTATTCATTACAGGAAGCCAACTCCTCAAACGTAAAAGCTCAAGCATTTCAGTCATTTTATATAAGCTCCACGGAAGATAATTCCAATTTCAAACGTTAGTAATTAATCCATTAGCAGGTGGAAATTCTACCTTTCCATTCTGACAGACGCCTGAACGTGTTCAACAGAAACACTTTCAGCTCCTAGGAGCCCTTCAGTTATCCAAGTGAAAGCTGAGTCTCCCAGGCAGGGAAATCATCTGTCACAAGGCAACGCGCTCAGCCAGTCCCCTTCCGGCAGGCAGACAGCTAGTCCTTGAATCCTTTTCCCCTTTGTATCGCCTCTGCCATCTGACAAGACAGACGTCATAGCCAAGCATCCAGGTACAGGCCTGGTGCATGTTACTTCTATGAGAAATCACCAAAATGCAGGCTAGCAAAGGAAGTCATTCCGGGCTTAATCTGTGCCTCTGGTCACAGTTGGTTAGACGGGTTAAAGGTGATGCCTACACACACAAAAGAAAGAGCCCAGCCCAGCCACACTGGAGAACGTGCAATGGAACAAATCTGTGGAAATGATCGAACGTCTGCACTCCATCAGGTACACAGTGCAACCAGCAGCTCCTCCTCCGTTCGCTGTATTGTCACGGACAAAAGGGCAGTGGCTGAGGGCTCCAGCTTATTCAAGGCTTCGTGGGAAATGTGACAAGCTGCCAAACGTCTGCTTATTTTAGACTATCCTTCTCAAAAAAAATCCCAGAAAAAACAGCTGCTGAGTTCAGGTGCCTGGCCCTCCCACGGGCGACAGTCTACACTCACTCTGGAATTCTATCCCGATGTCACCTTGACCCAGTCACCTCCACTTACTGTCCATCTTTGTACTCGTGGGGAATGCAGATTAACTTGGCAAACAAAATCAGGGCAGTCACTGAGGAAAACGAAAGTGAAATAACAGAGCTCATAGCCAAGCCAACATGAAAGGAGGGATGGAACTGTTGATACTCTCAACTCCACATGAAGTGGTTCCCATCTCCCCCTCTTGGCTCTTGAGCTGGCTCTAGATTCTGTTAGGGAATGGACACATGGCAAGTCAGTGTGAGCATGTGGGCAGTGGCAGGGAAGGGGGGAGGTATGCCAGGGTCCAGAGGAAATCTATTCTTGACACTCTATACCATTCCTGGTCCTGAGAGTGCTCTCACTAAGTTAAGAATCCAACCTCCAAAGGCCACGTCCAACCGTGACCCAAACCTTTGGGAGGACAGCTTAACACCACAATCTTCTATTTTCAGTGGCCACAATGAGAGCCAAGGGCAAATAATATGGGAGAGGCAGGAAAGGAAACAAAGTCTGCCTAAGATAACTGTAGAATTAGCTTCCGTTTCATGCCAGTGCACTGCATGTGTAAGAAAGACCCAGCCAGGATTTAAGGCCATACAATTAAATCAGCAAAATCAGATGTTCCTAGCTATTTGTAAAAACCGTTAGACTACGAGGACCTTAAAATCAAATTTTTGGAGGGCAGGGCCACAAAAGTGGACCATTCACCTTCTACCCGCTGGGACTCTTCCCTCTCATGGCTACACTTGAGGTCAAGAACAAAGATCAGCTTCCTGCTTCCAAACTAAGCTTAGTTCCAGCCCCAACAGCAAGATGTGGGGAAAAGGACTAGTTCATTCATGTTCTCAGGGGAAACACATCAGCTGAAAATGAAATAAACTTGAACGTGTGCTAGCTATATAATGCTGATAATGTCAAATTTCTCTTTTTTTTTTTACCCTTTTGCTTTTTTAAAGCAGATGATGGTAACAAAAGACTCTGGAAACTTAAGTAGAAAATATTTCTAGTCTCTGACCACAGGAGCTCATGCTACCCCAGCACTGAAAACAGCCACACACACAAACTTCCTACATGGCTGCCCTGAAGTGTGCCAAGACTGGTCTTTCTGTTTCTGTTGGGGACTGGGAATATAGCAAATGTTCTTTGCCAAGTTAAAAAACGGGCCACTTGGGCAGGCAGCCCTCCTAAGAGCATTTTCATCGTGATTTTTCAGATTTGGTGCAAAAAGGGACTTTATCCATTGCAAGTAATCCATGTGAAATGGCAATGTAGGTTAATTGTGAGCTTTCTCATGCCAAAAGAGAACACTAGAGAAGGTGGAAGGAAAAGAAGAAGCTAATTGGTACCTGATGTGATCTGGCTTTCTCCTGTCATGTGAAAAAATGGGGCAGAATTAAAACATAAGGGAAAGGTAGAAAAAAGAATGAAATGCAAATGAGCAAAATAAGCAAAGGCCGAGCATGATGTGAAAACCGAGCAAAAATGAGGCGACCGCCTGTAAGCAGAACGTCATTGGCCCCTGTCCCCACAGGTCACACCTGAGGACCCTCACTCACACTCATTTCTGGCCCCTGGAGGCAGGCAGCATCGTGAAGCCTCCCTCCTTAAAGGGATGTTTGTCGATGAACAATATAAAATACAGAAGAGTACAAGGGAAACCAATTCTAGGGAAATACAATGATTAGAATAGATTTTTTCTAAAGTTTACGAGTCCCAGGTTTGGCATGGACAAATTCTACTCAGAGGATTCAGTAATCTGGGTCAAACATGACTGAACTCTCTTTTTTTAATCTAAAAAACGTATGCTACAAATTTTGAGAGGACCTGATTCCAGGCTCCTTTGGCAGTAATGCACAAGACAATCCTTGATCCAAGGCACGAAACGTCCATGCAGCCTCAGACCTGACTCTGTGGTTCTGTCTCACTGCTGCCACTGGCACCCAGAAGCCAACCTCTCCCCATCCCTTTCTTACTTCTATCCCAGGAGCTTGTCTTTTGTTTGTTTGTTTGTTTTTGGTGGGGCAATCGGGGTTAAATGACTTGCCCAGGGTCACACAGCTAGTAAGTATCAAGTGTCTGAGGCTGGATTTGAACTCAGGTCCTCCTGACTCCAAGGCCAGAGCTCTATCCACGGCACCATCTAGCTGCCTCGCTTGTCTTCATTAAGATCGAAATGATGGGCTTCCCAGAGGACACCTGTGGTCAGGGGATCTGGGAATTTTTTCCAGATGCAGCATTTCTCTGACATGACACAATGCTCTAGCACATCTGCCATCTTTCTGCCTTAAGCTTCTCCATCTCTACCCATCCCCTAAAGAGCTGCCAGAGTGATGAGCGCACAACTAACCAGTCACTTCTCAAGAAGCTCCAGAGGCTCCCTCCTGTCCCCAGGACCAAATTCTATCTCTCCCAAACTTCTCCTTCTGGTTTTCGGATCTATCATTTCTACAGGTTTTGGGGGGTTTCCAGGTCATCTACATTTCCTCAAATTTTTAACATCTTCTCTTTTATACTCATCTTATGTTTATTTGTTGACTTCTGAACTTTTAAAATGCATGTTCAACTAATTCATTCATTCTCTCCCATTCCATTTTGTTCATGTATGTTTGTAGGAATATAATTTCCCCCCAGAAAATTGCCTTTGTTGCATCCCAGAAATTTGGGCATATTGTTTCATTTTCTTTCACAAAATTACTAATTATCCTTATTATGCTAAGTGCTAAGAGACAAAAGACAGTCCCTGCCCTCAAGGAGCTTACAGTCCATTGGGGGAGATAACAAGCAAACAAATATATACAGGATAAGTAGGGAATAATTAATGGAGGGGAGGGAAAAGAGGATTTTAGTTAGGACTTAAAGATCCTAACTAAAGGAAGTAAAGGAAGCCAGAGAAGGCAGCATTTGGAGTGGAGAAGTCTGAAGCAGC